CCGCTGCCTGGGTGGCAGCCTTGCCGTCCACGTCCAGGGAGCTGGCCAACTCGCCCTGATCAGCTCCAGGCTCGCCAGCGGGTTGAGCAGCAGGCGGCACCGTGGGAACAGGAGCTGCCCCAGCGCCAGCCGTAGCACCGTCGCCCACGTCCTGGGAACAGGTGGCTGCCGCACTGCGGATCCGCAAAACACCCTCCCGCCTCGCCCCTCCCGCTGGAGCCCCCTCCTCCTGTGGCTGGAGTGCCCTGGGGGCGAGGTCGGGATTGGGCGACGACTCGCGCTCTGACGCCTGGGTGCCTGTGGCCTGCGTGGCCTTGCCGTCTGCCTCCACCACCTCGAGGTCGCTGTGCACGCTGAGGGCCGCGAACTCGTCGGTATCGTCGTAGCCATGGGCGTCCTCGGCGGCGCGGCCTGCCGCATCACCTCCTTGGTCGTCATCCGAGGAGAGGGGCTCGAAGACCCACTGGTGCCAGGAGGCCGTCTCAGGCGGGGCACGATCTCCAAGAAGATCCCTGAAACGCTCCCTGGCCTGGTTCAACACATCGAAGTGATGCCGAAGCAGCCGACGGCGCTGCCTGGCTGTCAAACCCGAGTCAGGCCGTACCCTGGCGAACTGAGCCTGACGGGCTGGTTCGGCACGCGTCCAAGAGGTGGCGCATAGGTCGTCGACGACCTGTCCGAGAGTGCGGCCAGGGTTGCTACGTAGAAGATGCTCTCGAACTGGTGCCCACGCCGCCGAGCTGAGAAACCTTTCAAGATATTCCGAACACCACGTACGGTAGTCCCACTCGTTGGTGAAGCCTGCCACGTCGAAACGATCGATCCAGAAAGACGCCCAGATGATGGCATCGTCCATGATGGAACGGACATGCTGCTGTTCGGGCGTGATGTGTGGCTGGCTTGGCGGGGTTCCCATGCAGACAGGGCCGTCAGGCATCCGCTCCATCCTGCCAAGAGCCGCGCGGGCTGCTGCGACAGGAGCCCACAGCGGGTCGGGGCCCAGCTGGGAGGCAGGCGCAGGGTCGGGCTCTACTCGGGGCTCACCCTGATCTCCATGGTCTGCTCGCTGTCGCACAGGCCGAGCGGCGGCGCCTGCCGCCACGAGAAGAGGCACCGCCACACTGCCTCTCTTGGCCGCACTCTTGACTAACTTGCCCTGGAGCCCTTGGAGACGACCACGGCACTCCTGCAACTGAAAGGCCGCGAGGCGAGTGCGGGCAACCTTGCCGCAGTTGGTGCACTTGGAATAACCGCGGCACACTTCCAGAACGTGCGGGTGCCTGGGACCAGCCTGGGGTCGTGCAGCCTGAGGAATGTTGGCCTCTTGGCCCTGCTGTCGTTTGGGCCTAGGCTCCGCCAACTTGACCCCGTCGAGGAGGACCCTGAAGTGCCCGATGTACTCGAGCACGCGCTTGGTGGCCTTGAGCTCCTGCTTGACCTGCAACGTGGCCCACTCTGGCGGCGCGCTGAGGTCTGCTCCTTGCTTGGCCCATTCGTCGGCTAAGTCATTGTGCCTCATGTGAGTCTGGACCTCCTCTGGCAGCTCTAGGCGTTTGGCCTGCGATATGTGCGAGGCGACTTTGATGACCGACAACTCTCTGCCAGGAAGGATGCCCATGTCATCCAGGCGATCCCAGATCTCGAGCCAGACGTGCGCATAGGGCCTGGCCGCTGAACAACACCATGCCCTGCCACGAGCCAAGCCTTGGACCACCTGAGCATTGTCAATGATGATGGCCGTGATGAAGACCGAATGCCTGAGG